TTGTGGAATATATATAAAAAATGGAGGAAATAAATAATAGAATAAAAATAAAGAAATAATAAATGCGAACTTCATTTAAAACCAAACATATAAATTATAAAATATCTTTTACTTGGTTATAGATACCTCTTTATCCAAGTAAAAGATATTACTTTTCTCCACCTTGTCCATGTTTCCCAAAATAATTTTTAATTAAGCTTTATATTATAATGCGGATTTTTTATACTCAAAAATTTATTAATAAAGTAATTCGTACGTCTCAACCGAGGCGCAAATATTTTTCGGTCGCAAATTCATAAGACCGATTTGTTATTCATACATAAATATGGTTTTTTAATTAAATCTACCAATCAAAAAACGATACGCATTTTTATTGAACACTTCCTATTGAATTTTCAAAGTACCTATTATATTTGATTATGTAAAAAAAATATATTTACAATCATAAAACTAGATGGAAACACAAAGTAGGTAAAAGTAATGCTGAAGGCAGGCAGCCCTATTGCATGTTTACGTACCGCGCTGCTGTAGGCATTTATTTCAAAGATACGGCCGAGTTACAATACTGTATAGATAATATTACCGTGACTAAACTGCGATGACTGTTCCAGTTCATGCTTCGGCGTCGTGAACTCTTGAGTGATCGCTTGCATGACCACCCGGGGAAAACAAAACATAATAAAATAAGCAATCTATATTAGGTATCTATAGAGCCATAGAGGTATAGTATAAAGCGATAACGCAGCGCAGTGCCTAATAATTTAGTACGAGTTTGTAGGTAGGTACTGCTGATTTCTCAGCAAGCGTCGAGCGGCACAGAATAGGGTGGTATGTATGTGTGCATCGTGTTCGTGTAACTTCGTTTTTGTTCTAACGGTTCGGAACGCCGTACGAACAAGACGTGCGTTCTAACTGCTCTTCACTGGTACTATCTCTGTCGGGCACGATGCCAGGTGAGACAACGTGCTTTTTGGCCGCGCTCACCAATGAGTTCGAGCCCGCGACTTGTGCCACCTTAAGGCGCTACCTCCAGCGAACGACCTTGAGCGTTTGGTCTGTCGACGCTCGCTACAATATATCGCGTAAGAAATCGCCAAAAGACGCCACCTACTGCTACGAACGTAGTATTATTTTTTCAATGTCAATGAACTCTTCTATGGAAATAGACACGGCGTACAATGATAAATGTATTTTAATTTTCTTTATTCGGTATATTAGTTGCATTATATTAGAATTATGTATTCTAATATATTATCTAATTAATAAAAATGACTATTTTGATTATTTTTAACTATATACTATACTGCTAATATTGAATTAGCTTTTTATAGTGTAAATTATAATATTTGTCGAAATATTAATTATGGATTCGAACTTTACATGCTAATGGTGCTTATTTTTGTTATTTTTATTTACTAACATATTGAAAATATACTTGAATAGTAGGTATTATTATTTTATTTAGCTACTGAATTTTAGGATATGTTTTACCTTGAGGTCAAATATAATTTTGAGGAGCAATAGTTATTACCTACTAATCTTTTATCTGCTATTCCTTATTTAGGAACAATATTAGTAAATTGAGTTTGAGGGAGATTTACTGTTTGTAATGCTACATTTATTATTTTAATATTTACCTACTGGGTAGGTAATTATTAAAATAATAAATATAGCATTAGTAACTAAATAGATATTTTTTTTTAATTTTTAAAATTAAAATTTTCGTATTTTTAAAAATTACTAAAAAAAAGGGTTTGAAATAATATATTTTCTCACAAAAGAAGGGAACTTGAAAAAAAAAGGAAAAAAAAAGCGGGACCAAAGCCAAGACGCGAACCACGGAACTCCGATATCACGCCCGACCGACATACCACCTGAGCTATAACGACCGTTAGTGATTTGTCGAAATTTACCTTCTTATATTGTAGCAGTTTTTTTATTGCCTGAAAACATGGACAAAAGGACATTTTCTAAAAATAAATCCAAGCGTTCGTCGCTAAAATCGTTGGAGCCGTATAATTTTCTCATCTGGTTCGGTTATATAAATATTTAAATATATAAAAATTATAAATTAAAATGAAAAGATAAATATACATAAATATCAATAAAATAAAATAAATACAAAATAATATTATATTATTACTGTTATTATTATTATTATAAGTTGTGGTTCGGTGAAGCTGCAACCTAATGGACCATGATCTGAAATTTTTATGAAAAGAAGTGGCTGACGTCAATTATTATTATTCTTATTATCTTTTCATTACTGCCTTTTTCAACCTCACAAGATATTTGTAACTGCAAAAAAAACTACGTATAAGTAAGTAAATCAGTAATATAGTGTTATGTATGATTCAGACTAAATAAAGGTTCCTAAAAATAGACGTAGATAAAGAAATTGCATAAAAAATTACTCAAATAAAAATGCAATAAACTTGTTAATTTTATAGGTACTTAGTAAAATATTAAAATAATAAGTTTTTTAGGATATTTATGTAAAACATAAAGGTTATATTATGTTCTAACTACGTTCACGCTTGCGCATATAAAACCGCGGAATTTCACTAGTTTTATTATCAAAATAATAATTGACAACCCTACCCTAAGTTTGCCTTGATTTTACCAACTCAAACTCGTTTTAGGAGATCAAAACATAGAGAGAAAGATAGGAGACTATTTTTTATTTAATATGGTTGGATCTTTATTTATTTGTATATTTTTTGTATTTATTTTATTTTATTGATATTTATGTATATTTATCTTTTCATTTTAATTTATATTTATAAAAACCAACCAGATGAGAAAACTATACAGATACCCCAACAATAATAATATAATAATAATAATATTCCACAACTATCACACAACGCCATCTAGTCCCAAGCTAAGCAGAGCTTGTGTTATGGGTACTAGACAACTGATAAACATACTTATATATTTCTAAATACATAAATATTATAGATAAAATACACCCAGACACAGAACAAATGATCGTGCTCATCACACAAACATTTGTCCTGGGTGGGAATCTAACCCACGACCTGCGGCATAGCAGTCAGGGTCACTAACCACTAGACCAACAGGCCTGACGATAAATAAAATAAAGTCTCTAGCTCGAGAGGAGAGGAGCCGTGGTAGCTCAGATGGTTAGCGCTTGCTAAAATTTTCACAGTGTGCGAGCAAACCGGGTTCGATCCTCGCCGGCACCAATAATATTGTAATTGCAATTTTAAGTGTTGATTTACCACGTGCTCAGTGGTGAAGGAAAACATTGTGAGGAAACCTGCATGTCTGAGAAATAAGAAAAAAAATATTTCGAAGACATGCAAAGTTCGCCAACACGCAGTGATAATTCCTTTCCTAGGACCCTTTCAGAAAATAGAATAGAAATAAAAAAATAATAAATCCAAACTTCATTTAAAACCAAACATATAAAGTGTAAAGTAGCTGCAGGTACCTATAACCAAGTAAAAGATATTCCTTTACTCCAACTTGTCCATGTTTCCCAAAACAATTTTTAATTAATCTTTATATTATAATGCGGATATTTTATATTTAAATTTTTAATAATAAAGCATTTCGTACGTCTCAGCCGAGGCGCAAATATTTTTCGGCCGCAAATTTATAACACCGATTTGTTATTCAAACATAAACATGTTTTTTAAATTAAATCTACCAATCATAAAACGACACGCATTTTTATTGAACACTTCCTATTCAATTCACAAAGTACCTATTATATATTTGTTTATATAAAAAAGTATATTTAAGTACAATCATAAAACTAAATGGAAACACAAAGTAGGAAAATGCATTGAGTTATAAAACACATAAATCAATGGGCAAATGTAAAAATGCTGGAGGCAGGCATCCCTATCGCATGTTTACGTACCGCACGGCTGTAAGATTTATTTCTAAGATACGGCCGAGTTACAATATACCGTGACGTAAGCGCATCGGTTGGTAGGTACTCAAATAATATTATGTTTGCGGCGAAATACGGACGCGGCGACCAGCGACGCGGCCACCTCGTACGAACGCATACAGCGTAATGCCGCCCGCACTCTGCGCACGCCCCTTTATCATAGAAGTCACACAATTTTCGGAATTATTTCAATTAAAAGAGCAAAAACGAACTTAAAAATTTATATAAAACGTGGAGAATATAGATTTTTTAATTATCTATCCATTAGTGTTATCCTCAAATGATTAGAGCGTTACGTTTAGCAACAGATGCATGTAATCAAGAATTTTAGTCATTTTTTAAAAGTTGATTTTAAATGTATTTATAGCACATAAAAATAAATTAGAACGTGGAATGCGATGATAAGATATCGAACATTAATAATGTACTTTTAGATGTAGTTTATTTTTCATAACTAATGAGATAATAGAGTCTGAAAAACGCACTTTCGCAACATTTTGGTCAGGGATTCACCTTAAGTAAACCGGAGGGAACGAGTTGACGAAGTGTGAGCGAGACAGATATCCTTATTTCAGGTAGTCCAAGATCAACACGAGCCATTGTAATGTTAGTGATGTTTAAACATGGGATATAATATTGTTTAATTAAATTTTCTTTATTTGTTTATTATTATTAATATTTTGTTGTGGTTACATTTTACCTTATTAAAGACCTCACTGACACATGCTTACTGTTTATCTTACATACAACACAAATGCATTACATTATTATTCGAACAATTTGAATTATGCTTTTGACTTCTTTATATAGTTGGAAGGATTTTTTTTGTTGCTGATTTAATGATTTGATACGTTAATTTTTGTAAAATATAAATACATTTATAAATAAATAAATTTGCATGTGTCCATTAGGGACTTAGTATGTAATGTATAATATTTAAAATATGTCATGTATATGGTATAGAGCCGTCACGCCCAATTCACCTATCTTCATATTTGCTATCAAATAAAAATAAAAATAAAAACGCACTGCAATAGATTAGTGATGCAGAGCACCGTCATGTTTAAAATGAAAATTACTCAGTAACACTAGGAGTGTGTATATCGTCCACGAAATGTTGAATTACACCTTGTAACATGACCAAATAATTACCACCCATTAATAGTCTTTCAATGAAGTACGGGCCCACAATTATACTATCAATAATTCCTGCCCAAACATCTACACTAAATAGCAGTTAATGATAACTGTCTTTTATAGCGTGTGAGTTGCATACTGCCCTGTAATGTTCGTCACGACTATTATATTCTGTGGCTTCGTCAGCCCACATAGTGTTAGTATTATCAATGTTTGACGACAAACATTCACAAATATGTTTTCAAGGTAGACGTTCTCCGGTCGAGCCGACCCATTCGTGCTACAACCATAATATAGGTGCAGCGTGGCTCTACCATGAATAAAAACGTTTTGTAAAAACTTACCAAAAGCTTTAGCTATTGCGATGCTTTCTAAGATAGCGACTAGAGGTATCACGAGTCCTTCAGGCCCGAACACTGCGACCATGTCCATGAAACCGAGCGTTTGATTGTTAACGACCGTGCTGAAAGGCGGGAGCCCAAAATGCGGCAGCCCGCCTTCAATTTTACCTGGAAATGAAATATGTTGGTCGGTTATACCAGCCGGATTTTTGTTAATTTTATTGTTTTAATATCTAATATAGCGGCGACGTAAGAGAATTCATCATCCCATTTTATGCATAAGTGTAATAAAAGACGGCTTTGGGAAATGCTAGAAAGATCTCATGGCGATATAATCATCTTGTTTACGCCAGATGTAAAATACCCCAATCAACGCAACGAGCAAGACAACGAGTAGCAGCAAATCCCTCTTTACAGTGAGATTCATGTCTGGACTTTTACGGACTAACGAAGAAATGATCATAACAATCCACTGAGTAGCGTGAATTGTAGAAAAGATTTGCAATAATCTATAAGTTTAACGGGTAGTTTGGTGATCGTAAGATCTAAACTCTGTAGCCGGTCTAAGTATTTATCATCTAGCAATTACAATATGGAATGCTCTCTCTGGTGAAGGCATAGTCTTTCTGGTATTTTTCAGTCGCTTTTACGACACCCACGCGATAAAACGGAGCATAAAATATTTTCGCCTATTTTTTTAAAGTAATATTTTGTATAAATTCATTCGTGTTTATTGTTTTTATTACTGACTGTTAAAACCACAGAAATCATAATAATAAGACAATAGAAGTCGGATAGACGCGTGATCTTGTCGCCGCTATTATGTCAACACATATGAACATGATTCACCATTTTGTGATTTAGTTGCGCGGGGAACGTTGTACGTGAATTTTTGTTACTGCAACATAATAGTAAAAAAAGTAGTAAAAACTCATCAAGGACGTGTAATTTAATTAATAAAGGCATAACATTTCATAATATATATATATATATATATATATATATATATATATATATGTTAATAATAATTTGATAATTTACTAATTATGACTGTTTTAACCTATTTACATCTAGATGAATACTTTACTATATGATATTTACCTTTGTAAACTTTCATTTATTACTTTTTGTATTGACAATTACCATTGCTGCTTTTGTTCTACCGTAATACGCGACGTACGCGACGTTGACCAATTCGTCAAGCAATGTAATGTGAAACATTAGATGTCATTGTGCATTGCGTATGTTTATAATACGGCTGCAGGTGGCGACATCGGTTTTGGGAGTAATCGAGCGCTAATTCATTTCTATTGTCTTATTATTACTATTTCTGTGATTAAAACATTTAACATAATATTTTGTTTAGTCTTCCTAAATCAAAGCAAATAACTCACCGGTCAAAGCAAATGGCGTAGAGCCATGCCTATGCAATAAGTATGCGAGGATCGATGCTGCGAACACCAAGAGTGCGTTTCTGGCACGAACCACGTACTGGCACACCTTTTCCAGAGAATTGCCTAAAGTCAGCCGCTACGAATATAACAAAGATGACGTTTTACATTAAAATCAAAAAGTTAATCATCGTCATCATGACAACCTATCAAAGTCCACAGCTGAATAGGATAGGATAGAATAGAATAGAATAGGCCTACCCAAAGATTGTCTCTCAACTTGCCATAGTTGCCACGCTTGGCAAGCGGGTTAGCAGTTTAATTTTCTAGTGGTTATCAAATATGGAAGAGCGCTGGCCCTCATCTCCTGGTTTGTTCTCCTCTGTGGCCTCCTACGACACCCGTGGTGTAGTGGATATTCTTACACTGCCATTACACGACATTTTTTATTTACTAATATGAAATTTAAGATTTTTAATAAATTAAATTTTTGTCCCCCAATATATTTACGAAAATATTATGTGTGTAAAGACATAAGTAGTCTTAAAAAGTAAAAAGATTTTCAAATTGGTGGGTTATGTATGTTATTGCAATCGCTGCCAAGCTGTTTCTGGAATAATTCATAGATTAGTACAAAAGTATGTAATATTATTATAAATTCGCTGTTTTAGCTATTTTTTCAAGAAGAGAAGTATTTTCCGAAATCAAATCAATATACCTATATACTTATTTCTTATTTGTTACCCCACAACAAAATTTACTTCTGTATCTTGAAGATCATTTACTTACATAAATTGCAACAAATTACACAGGTAATGAAAATACAATTAAACTAGAAGTAAGAGTAAGTAATACAAATTTTTGATATAAACGTTGATATTGCGGCTGACGGCCATCTTAGTGACGTAGTCGAACTGTAAGTACCGTTCGCAAGGTCAGCCAGCGGTTACGCGTAGAGAGTACCTCTACTACATGTTTTATAGCTTTTTATTTTCGTTATCCTGTTTTATGTTTGTTATTGTTGTTGTTGCGCGCATAAGTTGACGTCAGGTATCTGGCACTAGCGCCATCTAGTGTCGGGGACCAGAGCGAGGAGGGCTTCCTAGAAAATGTCAATCTTGACTTTCGACCAACAGCGCCATCTAGTATCGAACAGAAGAATTAAGCTTTCTAGAAGCCCCACACTCGAACTTACTGCGCCTGGTCGGTTGGCGCCCGTATTTACTATGAATATTCTGGATGTTTCGGTGTAAAAGTGTATTTAAACCCGCTGCATGCCGCGATCGGGGCAGTATTGAATTTGTCAAGACAAGCGAAGCTTCGGGGCGAAATAAAGTGAATCGGTGTGATTAATTATTAGTGTTTTTTAAGTTTTAATTAGTGTAAAGTGAACTAAAGTGTTAATTTTGGTAATTCAATCGGCAGTTTTTATTGTAACGAACCTCAAGCTCGTAACATTATCATACATATTCTGTTACAATGAGTAAGAAAGTAATTAACAGCCGTGCTCGTGAAATTATTATCAAAGTGGACAATTACATATTTTGTAAAGGAGAAAGAGGACTCATTTGAATTGAAGTTATTGATTAAAATATAATCAAATCAAAATATAAACCGTGCCCTAAAAATGCTTCGGACACTACTGAGTATATTTTAATTTTATAGCAAATTGTGACATTTTAAATCTTTACATTTTAAGATTTTAATCGGCAGACGACAGCGAATCTGATACAACGGACTCTGAAGCTAGTTCTGATTTATATGATAATATGAATAGAATTGAAGAATTAGTCTAGAATTATTAAATTGTATTAATAAACATCGATGTTTTAATACTTGTTTTTATTTATTAGTTGTCCATTAAAATTGATTGAGAGGTTTAATGAAAACGTATCAAACAGACTTCTTTCACGTTTATTATATTAGTAGGTAATTTAATAGGAAATATTTATAATTAAATACCTATGAATAATGTATATAAATAACTATAACTCTAGGTCATGAACTTTTTCGCCAGAGGTGGCAACACCTCACACGAAAAGAAGGTTAACTTTTTGTTGTCTGTACTTTTTCGAGGTGGATGACGTCACGCAGCTGTTATTGTGACAAAGTTCCATCGCAATATCAACGTGCGAGGCTTATACAATCGATGATAAATTAAGTATTAATTATCTCTACATCCGTCTCTTTCCATAGTCACCTAGTGAAAAGAGCGAGAGGAAAACTTAAGCGTTTCTTAAAAATAGACGTCGAGATAGAAGCCGACGTAGAATTTTATGAGTGAGGCCATATAAAAATTGTAAACCAAACAGACCAAAGTAAAAAAAGTATTTGTCCACTTATGATAAATCATTAAAGTAGTATAGTTAAAAATATTTAAAATCTTTGTCAAATTTTTAATAATGTTAAAAAGCTTGATTGTAATATTCTAAAACACACCTTTAATAATAAAAGAAAAACAATCGAAGATGCGCCTAGAACGCTGTCCCAAAGTTGGGCCGTTTTTATGTTCTTGAAAAAGTTGACTAAAGAGTGAATGAATGTTCCTCCCGATGATCCTGGAAAAATATTTTCAATAATTTTAAACTCAGAAAGAAACAGTCTACTTGTAAAAAAATAGCCAAAATATGTTAGTTGTACCCAGCAAATATCTGGCGAAGTGGAAAGATAGAGCGATAAAAGGAGAATTCATAAAAAAATCTTCTCTTTTTTCGTTTTTTTTTCGGTCAAAAAACCTTGAGAAAACCTATATGTCTGGATATAGGTCTTCTCAAAGATGCACTAAATAAAATAATTCTTTAACCATTTAGGTGTACCTAAAGTCTGTTCGGCGAGAGTTGTTAAAGAAGAAAAAGCAGGGTTCCTAAACTCATTACAAATTGCGGCCTGCCAATTATTATTTTTTACCTACGACGGAAAGGAGAAGGTGTTTGCGTTTAACGTCAGAGGTTATTTGTTTCTTTGTGCAAACGAATGTTCCCATTGTCTCCAAAACGGTTTGATTGATTTGGATACGGTTTTCTGTAAAGGGTTTGTGATTGAGCGGCGATGGTTCTTAGATAGGTATTATGTTAACTTAACAGGAGGCGCTGCAATAAACATATTTGTGCAAACCACTGCTTCCATGGTCAACAAGACTCACGTAGAGAGCTGCATGTAGGAGGGCTTGCCTTCAATGTTATTAAGTTTAAAAACGAGAGTACTTGCATGCAAAGATAAAGTTTGCTAAGCAAAATTCTGAAAAACAATTGGGGTTCATAAAGTCAGCAGTTTACAATTCAGTTAAAAATTCAGTTTACAATTACAGCCATAAAACAGCGGCATTTACTGGCAGTTTCCAATATACGGCAAAGAAGTGTTGGAATAACATTTCACCACCAACAATAAGAAATATCAACATCAATTACAATTTTAAAAATAAATTTAAAACTTCTAGGTAAATAAAACAAGGTATTCTCAAACACTTCTTTCGTCGTCAGCTATAAACCATGTCATTTTTTTTCTACTATTTTCTACATCATGACTGTCGAAGCCTTTTAAGTACTATCTTTAACATGCACGCAATCCAACTTACACACCGCTTCAGTAATTTCACTAAAATGAACCCAAATTGCAAGTCGTCGGGCTGAAAGGACACATCATTCGTACATATTTACACTGCAGTTAAACAGATTTACCTGCTATACAAAACAGGGACTTTAGTTGAGAGGCTGATATCTGCAGCGCGGCTGCTGTCGTGAAGCCACTTATAACTGGCTTCGAGATAAAGTCAAGCAAGAATCCTGGAAATGAAAACCACTATAACTTACGTAATATGCGATTTAGAACATGACTGACCTAGCGCCATATTATGACGTCATAGCTGTCAATTCGAATCACAAAACAAATTGAATTTAAAAGAACCATAAACAAAAAGTATCGCATTTTCATCACTGTCTAAAACCACATCATATATTCACTGCTGCTTTCCCAAATAAAAATCTAGCTATTATTTTTGTGTGCGTCGTATGACACGCGAGTCGTGTCATTTTAATAATCGTTATAAATCAATCAAATTGCGTTTTTCTCAGTCTTAGGACCCTTATTTACGCTGTGTTTGTATAGTAACTTAGTTCTTTTAGGTGTCTCTTGGAAGAATAATATATAAATATATATACTTGAAGCCCCGCATGACGTGAGACGGACGAGAATTTAAAAATAAATACTTTCATCATAACATAACAATTTTTAAAAATCCCTACTTACAGCACCCGATATCATATAAGTGATGTCAAATATTAAATTTTTTGCTTCATATAATGCACCAGAAGAAATCGGTTCACGACGAAAATAAGAGGTATCGTTGTGATTTTTTACTCTATTATGTTTGTTTTTAAACAATGACGTCCCTCGAAATTAGATGCAATATCCATATTAATATTTTTTGTTACTTTGTACTTGATTTATCACAAAAACCGCGATAAACGCACAAATGAGCAAATGAACGCATTGTAGTATTTGCTAAAAATTGAAAGTGAAATACAACTTGCTTGTTACGAAAACTTAAAAATATTATAAACTAGGATCGAATTTGACACCGAACGACCACTAATAGTAATAAAAGACCAAACTACTAAACTCACCTAACTGCAATACACCAAGCAACAGTATAATACATCCGGAAAGGAAAGACGCGAGATAAGCGAAGTCTTGTGAGTAGGCCACGTACTTCGCTAGCAGCGCCGCTAATATGGCCGTAGGGCCGACCGTCACATCCTTACAGCTGCCGAGGAACACGTACACGAAGCCCGGGAATATGCTGGAATATAGACCCACCTGGAATAAAAGGATAGAAATTAACTGCCACCGTTCAAATACACCTGTATATATTTTTAGGCGAGTGAATGGAAATTTATTGAACTGTGAAAAGTCGTTTCGTTGTCTCAATACGAATTAGCTTAAGCGTGGTAGAGCTACGCCACCGCTATTATAATTGATGCACGATTTGGGCAGCTTGGCCGAGAATTCATCACCTGTGGGGTTGATGATGAGGTTGAGTATGGGAAATGCCAAAATAGTCTTATAGAAAAAAAACATAAACACTCACGCCTGTCACCCAGAAGGGTAGGCAGAGACTACAGACTTTCATTTGGCACAACTGACACTTTTATCTCGCCGCCTCCACATCCATATACCTACGCATATATATGCTCGTCGGTTAAGGGTACTCTTACTTTAGTCTATTTTCAATATATCGCTAATTTGGTCGCTCAAATTTTTCCTAGGACGTCCCTTTCCGACTCTGCCGTTCACTTCTGAAACATAAATTTGCTTTGTCACTCTTTCATCATTCATTCTTTCTATATGACCAAACCACCGAAGCATTCCTTTCTTAATCCTGGTCACACATCATCTTGCAAACCACACTCATCTCTTATCATACAATTTCTCACCCTGTCACTTAGATTCAGCCCTAACATACTCCTTAATGACCGCGTTTCTACTGCGTTTATTCTACTCTCGTGGTTCTTCAGCCACACCCAACTTTGACTACCACACGTCAAAGTAGGGACTAACACAGCATTTTGAATTTCCATACGTGCCTTTTTAGACACATTCTGACTTTCCACAATAGAGAGTGCCCCATTTATCCTATTTCCTGCGTTCACTCGTCGTTCTATACCTTATCATATCTCCCATCCCTGCTAAATACATATCCCAAATATACAAACTCATCTACTTGACCTCGACCAATTACCTCTTCTTTTCTTATTTCACATATCGTTTTACTATTTCTTTCTTCTTTTTTTCTCTTTCAAGAACCATAACTTTCGTCTTACTTGCGTTCACTTTATTCCCCTTTCTTTTAAGGACCTGTCCATTAAAACGGCAGTTACTAAATTATAACGAAGTAAATAATGCTATATCTAAATTATTAAATTGGTTTAATGATAATAATTTGCATTTATTTTTAATAGCAATTTATTTTTACTTAATCCCAGGGCTTCTGAAGCGAATTTACGATCAAAAGCCCGGATTAGGGTTTTAGAATGTTTCAAGGCCGATGTGTCAGACCAGATCTGAAGTGATTTATTGTAATAAATAGATTCATGGGTCAATCGGGCTAGATATTTCTTTGCTTTAAAACCCTCTCAGAAATGAGAGGAGGACTGTGCTCAGCAGTGGGACGTATAAAGGCTTAGTTTTAACTTTAAATTTTTTATATTTTTAATAACGATGATGATGATGATGATGGGCTATGGTAATGATGATGCTGTCGTCTAAACCTCGTGGTTTAGATCTTTGACGAGGCATGCTATCTTTCACATACCTGTGGCGGTAAACCAGCGACCATGGCGTAAGCTATTCCTTGCGGTATAGAAGTGAGGCCGACGGTTATACCTTAAAAGATTGAAAAAGGTACTTTTTAATTACAGCTTTTTATGGTTCTAAATTAATAAAGTAAATACGGCTCTATAAAAAGTTAGTTATGAATCACAAACTTATTTTAATAAAGTGTATGACAAACGAACACACAGTCCACCTGATGATAAGTGGATGATGTGGTTCATCAATCAAAATGCGGATGTGTAGTCACCATTGAAGGTTTACGTCCATTAAAATAGAATGCCTCGTTCCCAGTAAAAATGGCCTTAGTAGCAGCACAGAATAAATAATAGTCAAGAACAGAAGGATCACTCTCTGATAGCAAACTTGCGAGTTTAAACCTCGCTAATGTTCATAATGCCTACCGATTAAATAGTCGAAAAAAAATTTATTGATTTCCCGCCGGAGTCAGGAAGTTGGCGGTCCTGTTCTGCACCTAATCAATCTCCGGTCGTGTCGTTGAGAGAACGAGAGTGCACCTAAGCTTCCGCATACTCTCTGTGGTACCATAATCCTGCCCTGCGCAGATGACCATAATCGGGTAAATCGTTAAGAGATTACACAATCACTAACAGACTTACCAAAGGATACTTGTAATAATAAATATAGACACACAACCGAAATAATAAAAACAGCTCAAATCAATTAATGTATTCATAAAATCAAGCATCAACTTTCGTTCGTTTTATTCGTTTTAATAATTAAAATGAGAATGATTTGAAATTCCTTTTCACAAGCTTTCACTCTCATAAACAGAAGTTTGGATCCATGTTATATAATATACATTGCCATGCCATTCTAGGCAGCGCTTGCCGTAAATTTACAGTACATTTGTTTTTTGTTTTTTTTATAAAATTTATGTGACAAACATTCTTACTATACTCCTGATGAGAAGGAGCTATTGAAGCCCTACGAGGGACAAAACAGCACACAGTCCACCTTATGGTAAGTGGATGTTTGGTCTATAGACATCTACAATTTTATCCTCGATTAAGAATAAAAATGCAGATGAGCTTATCCCTTGAGGACTAAAATGGAATAACCCATTTCTAGTAGTCAGGGTCCCCGGTTCCCTACACTCATAATACGTAACATGAGAGCGTAGTCCTTCTCCGATCGAGCCAACACATTCGTGCTACAACCGTAATGGGGCGTAGCTCTAATATGCCCAAAGACACGTACATTTACTGTACTAGGTCAACGATTTTTATTAAAATCTGTAGACCAAATTGGATATTTCTCACTTTTTTCGAATTTCCCTTAGCTGGGTCTTATTACCCGCAAGTACTATATACGTATTATCTTACCAGCGATGGCATCCCGGAATAAGCATTCCAGGCTGTAATTGGGTAGCCAGATTGTGATCGGAAGCCGTCTCTTCCATGACTCCAAGCTGCACAGTTTCCCGGCGGCGCGTCGCAACCGGTTTCCACGCGGGTGACCTGACAGTGTCGAGAAAACATTTTATTACAATTTGAAACAGATTTATATATTAGCGATTGTATATATGTATGTCTATGATGGAGTGACGTACCTGATAGAAAACGCAAGAAGTCGATAGATGCATGTGGTTCGGTACCGTACTTTCTGGCTATCTATAAGGGAGGTCTATGCTCACCAGTGGATTTGCGATGGGCTGCAATGATAGTAACAGGCATATCTACGCCGCATTGTAGTAGCATCGCGTGGATGTCGTAAGGGTCGTAAAGTGAAATAAAACAGAAGGTGACCAGCGTCTTCTCGATAGTAACTTAAAATGATAAAAAGTTGTGAACCCAACCAACAGTTCGCAACTCGCTTTGGGGCGCAAACTGTTTTATTTTTATAGAATAGATTGACAAACGAGCACACAGTCCACCCGATAGTAAGTGGTTGCTGTGGCCCATAAACATCCACATCTATCCTAGATTACGAATCATGCGTGGTCATCCGTGAGGACTAAGATGGAATGCTTCGTTTGCAGTAAAATACGAAACACGACAGCGTCTATTTTACGCTGGTATTCTGTGAGAGCGTTGTCCTTCCCCGGTCGAGCCGACCCGTTCGTGCTACAACTCTATTACTAATACAACTGCAATATTACTCTACCACGTATAAAGAACTGTGGCAAATAACTACTATGCAATGATGGATCGAAACGATGTTGAAAACCAGATCGCGATAGGTAAAATATAAGAAAGAGAATGAAACTAATACAAACAGAGAGTTCTTCAACGCCAGGACACATGTAAATCTAAGCATATATATATTCAATAAAATAAAAAGTCGATCACGTATATTAAAAAATCAACTTATTTCGTCTGTCTGGACGGTTAATCTTCAACGTAACCGATGCGATGGAATATAAGAAAGAAAAAATACACAAGCAAAGGAAGTATATATTATACGGAATTCTTGAAGATTTTTTTTGTAATATAGAAAAATTTAAAAAATAAATGGTCATTAATGATTATTTAAAAAAAAATGATATAATGCCACACTAAAGATCCCACGCAGACGTAATCAGAGCAGGTGACCAGCGCAGCAATTAAATTTACAATTGACGTAACCTATCATCAACAAAAGTAGGTCAAAAGAGGTTCTTAGATTTTGATGTTGTAATTAGTATGTTATTTTAATAGAGAATTAATTAACCCCGGAAACATTTATTAAAATTTAATCAAGTAGAATCAATGCTTTCACGGTTCCGTGACGCAGTGGCTTAGCGTTGAGTTGCAGCGCTAAGGCCGCGGGTTTGAATCCCGCACAGAACAAGTATTTATATGACCTACAAATGATTGTTCCGGTCTGGATGTTTGCTCTCGTGAAATTTATGTATGTAAACTGCCCCCATGATACAGGAGTAAGTCCTAGTGTGGAGGTAATGTTTAAAAAAATCAAAACAAAAACAAAGATCCGATGCTAATCAACGAAACACGCTATAAAACTGACAGAGGACGAGTCACATTGATACTGGTAGGTATATAGGGAATTTGAATGGATATAAACATCAATTAATATATGCAAATCGCTTTTTTTTTCAACAAGCAAAGGTAACTAAAGACCACAAATTCCACCAGTTGTTTCTTAATGTTGTGCCCCAAAAACGTACCTACATAATACTTAGTTAAAGAATTATTTTTTTATTTATCGAAATAAATGTGGCCGTAGTCACCTTCATTTATCCTCGCATTGTCACACAAAACAAACCAGATGCATTATGGTGACATTGGATAGTGGTATTCTGTGAGAGTATTTTTTTTTACTTTTTGGGTGTCACGCGACCACACAGTCATCAATTTGCAGATGAAATGTAAATGTTGTAACTCCTAAAGACTAAGATAGAAAGGATTCTAACCAATGACTTCTCCAGGTCTCGAGACTAAGTATACATAAACAGCTCCATTATGGTGTATAATGCGTAGCATATTATGGTTTGGCATACTCGATGCTGGTATTCTGTTACAGCGTGGCTTTTTTTTAATAGAATAAGAGTGACACGCGACCACACAGTCCACCTAATGGTTATGGTATCAGGGTAACAGACGTGAGTGTTTATGTATGTATGTAGGTAATGATGAAATAATCGGTCGTCTTACCAGCTGTTATTAACATTGCAATAAATATTTATCTCATTTGTATCATTGATCAAAACCTATCGAACACCACTCACAAACAATCGAACACACAACGTTACACCAAACGTTAAAGACGTTACCCTTGTAACGGAACTCAGAAGTGACTGCGTTCATCAAAAATTCAAAACATACAAAGAACGTGAGCGCATTTTTAATTTGCATTTAAGTCACAGATGTTTACTAATGGAAACGCCTCGGTAAGGGATTTTTATTTTTAGTACTTTTACATTTTAACTATTTAAGCAAAAAATAGTGAAGTACAACCTAATATTCGTACAAGATCTACCTTCAATACTAAAAAAAATTTGGTATCTTGGCAGGCGGAGGAATAGTCCGGTAGGCTGCTACACGGCTTTACAAATCCCAGATTTTTTTTAAATATTTTGTCAGATATTCAAATTCAGTTATGGAATTAATGGAAGACTATACTATGTTATTTCCAAACCTCTCAAAGTGGTGTTCATTTATTGCAACAAACACAACTTTCTTACTTTTCTGTTTTTTTTTTTAATCTTAAGTTCAAATAAGTAAAGGCAGAAGTTGCAGCCTATATAACGTACCACTGCTGGCCACAGACCTCCTCTCACTTCTGAGAGGATTTTGGGGCAAGGAAATGTCCGCCACGCTGCCCGACTGTTGGTGGAGTTCACATGTTTGCGATATATTTTTATGTCTCAAACGTACAGGTTTCCTTACGATGATTTTTTCAATGCCGAGCACGTGGTCAATCAACACTTAAAATTGCAATTAACAATTTTAAATGCGGTTAGCTCGAGTAATATGAGAAGTTATGTCATATATTGTGATCCGTTTAATTAATTTATATACAGAATTCATGTAAACACCTCTATAAAGCTGGAATGCTCAATAATATCGAATGTTCGAACATATCGCCCCCTTTTTATGTTATTCTTATTATTATTTCTATTTCTTTAGTAATAGTTTAACCGGAATTTTTCGTTCTCAAAATCCTCGTTTTTTAAGTCCCTCAAAAACAAAAATACAAAAAATTATTCAAAGTTCAAATATTTATTTCTTAATTTTAAACTTAAAACTTTTTCCTTCAAGGTGAGGGTGAACCTCTTTGTCATATCTCATTTCAGGGCATCCATCTTTTCCCCTTTTTTTTCAACTATTTTTATCATTTCTATACTCTTTGTATAGTTCTGAACGGCCACATTATTGAATTATACGTTCTACAGACAATTTATTGGAGAATAATTCTGCAACTTTCAACAATCGTTTTCATGTAATAGTAATGAAAAGCCCGTTAAAATGGGCTGGTTCAATAAAATTACGTTTCAGCTTGAAAACACGGTACCTTGAGAATAAACCCTTCATTTAAGATCATTAAGATTTTTTAATAGACTCGTCTAAAATTAGAAACCTGACTACATCGAGATCTCAGACTAATTAGTAAGATAGACGGAGTAGAACAATGAAGTGAAGCCAAAAAAGGAATATCAAACAGCAAAACAGTAGCAGCGTATACATATGTTCTGTAACAAATTTTGTAATTATAAAAATGATACTAGATTAGCATTTTAGTATTCGTTTTCCCGGATTTACTTATCGATTTAATACGCTCCGCCGAGAGAAAATTAAAACCACAATCAATTCACCTTTACCTTTTTTCATCAGAAAATTAATCGTATTTGTAGTTTTCCATTAAATCTAATATTTTTAATTTTCTAATGAAAAAAAACTAGTAATCGGGGAATAATAAATGTTTTCTTGCTCTCCTGTAATTTAAAAAAAAAATTGAGGTTAGCCCCATTGCGGCGGGCGTCAGCGAGAAAGCGTTTTTATCGCTCATCAACTCATCATACATCTTGTGGCTCATGTTTTTTTTTTGTTTCCTCAATATTTTTAAAAACAATAGCCTCAAGAGTATTTCATTTTATAGTAAAACAGTTTGCAACAATAAGCGAAGATACCAAAATTTTGAGGGTTTCCAACCTTCGAACAAAGGAGTGCTCGAACGCAGTAACGAATGAGCCGGCAGCAAGCAAGTAGAGGTATACTCTACTTCGTGTGCTCCAAGGTCTTTAAAACTACAAATTATATTGTCCATAACCTTCACACAAAATTGTTTTCTTAATTCAAACTAATAAAACTAAACGTTCATGTTTTTAACGAACAACACTTAAAAAGTTTTTACCATACAACTCGCCCATTTTAATTTCTGATATACTAAAGAGTAAGTATATTTACCGAACATCTTGATAGTCGATGGGCACAAAACACAAAATACTGTCGAATATTCAACAACAAAAACTAGAATCTTTAATAGCTACTTACTACTTAGTACCTACTGCGTGTTATAACTTATGTATTTCCGAAGGTACTGCAAATAAAGCGATATACGAGAAGGCATTGCGCAAAACAACGCATTGCACTAAAATAAGCACCTTACCATACGATACGTCCGTGCGCGGCGAGACTATAATAGGTAGGTGCATTTTGAAATTGCTTTTCAATTATAATGATCATAATAAACAATCTATACTTACGCTATACATATAAGTGTCGTCTGTCTGTATATTTGATAGAATAAATGGTCTTCGATTATCTCGAACCTACATAACGCAACATAAGAGATCATGTCCAAGCAAAGCGGGGCGTGTAGCTAGTTTCAATATAACTTTATAAATGCATATTTACATTAAGTAATCCAGTTATCGATTTCAAGTGTAAACTGAACTCATACCGTCCAAGTAACTTTTCTGCCACTAATTACAAATTTAGTTAGATACTCTAACATCAGAATGAACGACATCAGGTTGATGCTTTCGAGGCAGTTACTACCATCAAACCACTAATTG